GAAGGTGCGAGCGAGAGCGTGGGAAACGTGATGGTGGAATTTCATTCTCTGATCGAATATGATGCCGAGGTATCTTGCTTTCGGGGATAGGGTCACTGGGATGTTATTTACGATAAGTGGGTTGGGCATGGCGCTATTGGTATGTTTTTTATGGGTTTCACGCGCTTATTCCTTTCGAAAAGTGTTTGTTGCACCACGCATATGTTCCCTGCAAATCGGGGGCGACTAAGCACCGAAGCGAGTAGCTCGAGTGTTTCAAGCTCTTGAAAGGAATACAACTAATATGTTTTCGCAGAAACTTTTTTTTCGGGTTTGGTCCAACAAAAATATTAGTTGCTGGTTGTAAGAAATGGCTTTTTCATCTGTATTTAAACTATACCTACCCCAAATGTATCTGGTAGTTGGGCTTCAATTATTATTCCCTAAAGAACCTCTGGTTTGCTTTTAGCCGTAACATTTCCTATTTCCCTTATTTTCTCTTGAGAAATTATTTTGGGCATCCTAAATATGAAATAAATTTGACAATGCCGAATTTTGAAAAATGTCAATGGATTTTGCAGGTATGCAGAATAGTAAGGTAGGTACCGTTTATGGTTTATGAATTGCAATATTGAAAAATATATTGAAAAATGTGTCAAATTTGATTGGCCAGATAGGCCAGAGAGTTTTAATACTGCGATACGTACGAAATTATGTGAAACACACTTTAAACTGTTTGGAATTTGACATATACTGTCATTATTATACGAGGGTCAAACTGTCAAATTTCCATGGATAATGCTACGTCAATAATATCTGAAAGGCAAATATCAACAATATTATCGGGATTCATATTATATATTGTATATAGGTATATCATATATAACATTTTGTCATATTTTTGATGTAGACTTTTTTCATGCGACTTTTGGCACAAGTTTTCAGGGGGGGCCGGCTAAATTTCAGGAGGGGCCCCGGCCCCCCCTGGCCACCCTCTGGCGTCGCCACTGTCCCAGCAGTGGCAACAACGTGTTTCTACAGAAATTGGCGGGATTTCCCCAAAAATCACGAAGCACAACTAGCACAAGACAGTTGATTTTGACAGCGCGTCCATTCAATTTTGTCCGTTCCCTGTTCTAATTTTGTAGTTAAGTTTAATTAAATATTGGTATAAAGGTGACATACAAATCTTTGTTTTATTTCCCTGACGAGAGCGGGGGTGAGGCCCCCATTAGTCGTTAAAGAGGCCGACGAATCCTTGTTTTTTAACGATTTCAACGACTTCTTGGCAAAAATTGGGCGTGGTGCACCTAAAATCCTCAGCTCCGTTTACGAAAAAAAAGGAGGCTGTATCTGCAATCCCCCACTCTAAACGGCATACAATTATATGTCTCTCGGATGAAGTTAAGTATTTAGGGGGTGACCCTGGACCGCAAACTTACATAGAACAACTAAGTATCTGAACAAAACAATCACGAGGTAGGTACGGCGGCCACTTGTACATGCCGCAAACCCGTGAGAGAAACATGGGGGATAAGACCAAAAATGGTATATTCGATTTACCAAATGGTTGTTAGACCCATTGCCACATACGCCTCGTTGGTATGATGGACAAAGGCTGTGCAAATAACTGCGTTATGAAGGGTGTTTTTTTAGAAGTTTGTTTTCCTATATGGCGTGGCAGCACTGTTTCTACTGGCAGTTAATTTGACATGTGACAGCTCATTTCCGCTCATTATCCGCGTGTTGCTAAATTTACCAAAATAGTGCACCTCCACGGATGCGGTGATTTAAATTCACTAATACCAATGCCAAACCATAGCTTATTAGCTTGTCAAACCCTGTTTAATTTAACAACACTACTTTTTCTACCATTTCACCACGGTGCGTACACCAGCTGAATTTAGCCACACGCGGTATGTCTTGCTATTTCATCATGAATAGCGAACACACCAGAATAACGCTTGCAAATTGTGCAAATTTACTTCGAAAGTCGTTGTTTCGTTCGCGAAACTTACCGTACACTTTTACGGATGACATAAATTGTCCATCCGCGTAAGTTCTTCAAACAACCATGAATCGTTATCGCACTACGCATACTCTGATTGATAATTCAGGAAAACTCAGCGTTTGGTGTGCTTTATGGGTTAGTGAAATCATTGGCCCATATTTCTTTAAAGATGATGACAGCCAAAACGCGACAGTCAATGGAGAGCGGTATCGATCCATGATTACTGACTTTTTTGTTCCCCAGTTGAATGTCGTTAATATGGAGGAGTTTTGGTTCCAACAAGACGGCGCAACATAATCAACTTATTGCAGAAAATATTTGATGACCGTATAATTTTGCGCAATGGACCTGTGAATTGGCCTCCACGGTGGTGTAGTGTAATCTCACACCTATGGATTATTTTCTGTCAGAGGATATGTGAAGAAGATGTGAAGTTGCTAGTCTAACAGCTAACAGTAATAAACCAATAAAGTTGGATCAACTGGAAGCCAACATTCGCCGCGTTATTGCTGATTTACGTCCCCAGATGTTTGAAAAAGTGGTCCAAAATTGCAGACTACGCTTCGTTCGAGCCAGTCGCGGCGCTCATATTGCTTTTCTAATAAAAAAATCATGACCGTTAACATAATTTTTATGAGTTTCATTCCAGTTTAAAGTTCTATACCTCTAAAAAAAACACCCTTTGGGGCCTTTGAAAGAACGCCATAATCATGGAAGCACGCAAAGCTACTACAAGCGAACAACGCATAGTACTGTGGTACACGGTCCACGGATGGTTCGAAGCTAACGGAAAGAGTCGAGAGTCAGTCTGGGAATAACTGGATCAAACTTAAAACTCTCCTCAGCAATAGGTTAAACGCCCACAATATTTCAAATCTAGGTACTGGCCATAAATATCTGTGCCCAACAGAGCATTAAAAAAGGCCTTTTAAGTGGGCACATTTACATACTGTCCAACAGTCAAGCGATTCAAAGGCTCTGGGAGCCATCAAGAGCATTCAGCTAGTTCAGGAGGGTGAAAATATCCTTAAGCAACTTGTTGCCAGTTGGTTGGGAGAAACAAAGTAACCCTGATGTGTGTGCCAGGACAACAGGGCGAAGGCATAGACAACGACGAGCAGGCAGGCCGTCTTGCAAAGTGAGGCGCTGTAACACCTTTCCAAAGCCCAGAAGCGGAATTCTGTACGGATAGAGATCGTTATCGATATCGCTATAACACTTGCTGTCTTCTCTCTTTTTGAAATCAATAGAGGAATGTCAATAGAGATAACGAGAATACTTTCGGTACAGAATTCCAGCCGAGAACCTTTTTGTGGAGTAATGAAAAGTCTTGTCTCCGAAGAAATAGACAGGAGATACATCAGAACAGTCGTTAATCTGCTCACTGGACACTGCCTGGTGAAATCCAAACCTAAAAACAATAGGCAACTCAGACAAAGACCCTTGTAGATGTTGCGAACAAGTACCAGAAACTACAGAAAATTTAATCTGTGAATGCCCTGCTCACTTCTGCAAAAGACTAAAATACCTTGAAGGGGTACGGCTAACACCCCAAGAGGTGAGCACTTTACCAACCAGGAAGTTGGCGTTCCTTGGGAGAAGCCTACAAATCTTGGACACCAACTAGAAGAAGAGTCACGCATAAAATATCTGGAAAGGTAGCAGTGCTTGAACGGCTGGAATAAGATGTAACGACTCTAAATGCAATCTACAATCTATTAAGAAATTCTACAAACTTGGATCTGAAACTTATTTTCAGACTGGAGTAGGAGAGAAATCAAGAATTATTGCTTTATCACTTATAGCTCGCGCAAGCTTGAAATAGCGAGAACATCAGCCCTATTAGGATTTTACGTTATTTCCGGATATAATACAATCGGAAGTTCTTATAAAAAGGGTGAAAAAACATTTTAGAAAGCCTTTTGGAATGCCGAAGATTCTGTTCAACAGTATATTGGTGAGTAAATAGCTTTGAGGTTCACCCATAAGTTCTGCAATAATTCAGTTATTCGTACTTGAACTATTATTATAAAGTTAAAATTTGTAAGATTATTCACTTTTTGTCAAGTTGCCTTTCAACAACAGGAATTACTAATGTTACTTTACCAAACTAGTAATATATTATGACAAGTTATTCAAGTACAAATGAGTGGATTGTTGCGGAACTTATGAGTGGACCCAGCCATCTATTCACCAATATGTTGTTCAAGTACGATATTAACTTGACTCACTCAAATGTCAGTTATTCTCATTAATTCAAAAACTACACGTTTCCGGTGAAAGTCTTATTTGAATAGTTCAACAGTATATTGGTGAGTAGATGGCTGCGGAACTCGCTGCGCTCGTCCCGCAGAGGTCCACCCATAAGTTCTGCAATAATCCATTTATTTATACAGGGTGTTTTTTTATATATTGACCCCTTTCCACTACTTGACATCTTCAATCCTAAATATTTGTATTTTTCGCAACCTTCAATAATTTGACCATTATCCAGTGGCAGATTTTGTTGAGGTCCGCCAACGCATATGTATTCGGTTTCAGATATGTTGACCTCTAGTTCCCATTTGCTTTATTTTTCAACTACTTTTCTGGTCATATATTCAAGATTGTCTTCAAGATTTTTTTGCATTCTATCCCTAATTCTCTAATACGAGAGATTACCCACATATTCTGGGACACCCTGTACATAAACATAGGATTGAAAAGTGTCAATTTTTGGTTCGACCTATTTTTTGCGAGGCTCTTTAAGGCGCGAGGCTGCTCATTTATAACAATTTTTATACTAAATGAACCTACACAAGTTAAATTAATGATTCCAATTAAGAAAAAGTAGTACTTTCTAAAAAGGAACATTTTAATTTATTCGTACATATATAGATACTTATTGGCCGATAGTACCATCCAATACCTCAACTCCAACAAAACAAACAACTCATTATCAAACTACGTTATCTTCAGACTCCTATACGGCAGGGAAATCCAATCCAATCCCGCACAACTACAAAAAAAAAACCAGCAGCAGCGAGATATAGATGTGCTTGGTACCGAATAGTACCGAGTCAAGAAACTCGGATTTCATCAAACAAAAATAACAACAGAACACTCTTCGGTCGGCAACTAATAAGTACGGTACCATACACCGCAATAAGCGACGCGGTATATAATCGATATAGAAAGCGCGTTTTTGTTGATTGTTTAGTACTGCCTGGTACCAATTTTTTCCGAAAATGTCGTTTTTCAAAATCAAGCCCATCTGGAAGGGAAATTCTAAACATAAAAGTAAGTATGAATTTAATTGTTGTTGCATCAGATGTATATACTTAAATAATTCCTTATAACTGGTTTACCTTCAATGGTTTTATTTTCCAAAGAATAGGTACCACCACCTGTAAGATCAAAAATAAAAAAGTTATAGGTTACAGGTGGTAGTACTTTATAACTTAACACCCCTGTACATTATTGATAACATTATTTTCAAATCCTGTTTCCCATAATAATACATATTTAATTCATTACTGTTTAATTGCAAATGGTTCTTTTCTGTGCTAAATGGTACCGAGAAAACCGCTTGACCTCCAAAACAAAATAAAAAAACGCTTCGTGATGAATTTTTACACTTCCTTGAATCGAAATTAACAAAGTGGGTGATGGTTCTGGTCGGTACCATTGTAACTCTCTGGGTACCATTTAGCATACCTGTATAAACGGACGTCATTATTCGCCTGTTAAGGCTATTATTAATTGTAGAACAAAGATCGGAAATGTTATTAAATTGTGAAGTAATACTTTTGTGCATAAATTTAACGCTGCAAGGTGCTGATCAAGAAATTAATCAAATTTTTCAAAATAATTTTGGGACACTTACATACAGGGTGTCAATAAGTTATAAAGTACCACCCCTTGTAACTTTTTATGTACAATTTAAAAAAGTTACAGATGGTGGTACTTTATAACTTATTGACACCCGTTGTTTTTATTTGAATAATTCACGTTTTGTCCTCCAAATAATTATGTTCTGCGTAGTTCTATAATGCTATTTATGTTTTCTTATCACAACTTAATTCTAATTATAATTATTTCAAAATTGTTTTCATTTGAAAAAGTCACGGATAAAAGTTACAATGAACCATAATAATTTGACGTCAATGTAACATAGTTTATTAGGAAAAACTTTTTTTGAAAATTCCTGACTAAATTTGAATGTGGTGAAAACCCTATTTTTAATTGAAAATACCTGTTTTGAAGGCGTCTATAGGTACTCTAGTAAATGCAAATACCTATTTTGTAATACTTGAATGGTCAAATATTTAAGGCAATTTGAATTACATGGAGCCAAGCTTAAAGCTGATGCAACATCCCGCTAGAAATTGGTCATGTCATGCATGGGTTTGTAATTCTATTGAAAAAAAAACCTGTTTCGAGACAATAATAATTTTCTATTTTTTGCACGGTTCCTTTGCCAAAAATTCCATATTGAATAATTTACATTCAAATATTATTATGTAGGTAGGTAATTAAACTTAGAGTTACTAAACTACTCAAGCAAAAAACTTCTACGTCATCTAGTGACGTCGAGATATGCCCATATAATCTATAACTAAGTTATTTCAATTGGAATTGGAATAGCATTGAAATCTTATTCCCGGCTCTCCTAGAACCAAAAGTATACCTATACCTACCAGAGAAGTTGAAAAGAGTCTTATTATTTTAGAGCTAGATGTTCATCTAGAGAGCTCATTTTTATTTTCTAGGTAGCGAAATTTAATTGGAAAAGTATAGAAACTTCACTCCAAGCTTTTGAATTCGAAGGTTTTGACTATTTCAGGGTAAAAGCTTAAATAAATTCAACTGGAATACCACTAAAATCTTATTCCCGGCTCCCCTAAAGCCAAAAATATATCAGAGAAGTTATGAAAAGTTTAATTATTTTAGAACTACAGGTTGATCTAAGAATTAATTTTTTCAGCTAACTAACTAACCACTGGGTCTTAAATTGCTGGAGATTTTTTCTGTAACAAATGGCCATGATCCCAAGCGTCAAATTGTACAATGCGTCAGACATTGGTAATGATTCAAAATTTGGACTATTCTCGGCTCTTGGTTGCCTTCAGAAAAATTTGCCAGCGCCTCTATTACTTACTGGATCTTGAATTGTTGGAGATTTTTTCTGGAACAAATGGCCATGGTCCTAAAGTTCAAATTGTCTAATGCACCAGACACTGTGGTACTCATTCAAAATTTGGATTATCCCTGGTTCTTGGTTTCCTTCAGAAACATTGAACAGCGATTCAAGAGCCTGGAATAGCCCAGCAACCAGCAAAATATTTTGATGTCATTATCTTCAGACTGCTACCCATTATTATTAGGTACTCAAAATAAGACATTGGCAGACTCAGATTAGTTTTTTAGTTTGGAAAAGCAGCTACTGGGATCAAGTTGTCATAGTGTCTCTTTTACCCTTGGTTATCAGTTTTCTTCTTTTCTCTAGTAGCTGTTTCGTTTCTATCGACAGTTTGTCCGGTGTTTTCTCTAGGGGGCCTATTATCTGTTCTGCTGTTTCTGTTATAATTGTTGTTATTCTCCTATTGTTATCATCTAATGAATCTTCTGTTTTTCCTGGATTGTTGGAAAAGTTTTCTTTCCGCCTTTGTTTGTATGTTTCCCTTCTTTCTGCTATCTTTTCTCTACTTCCTCTCTTCGTCGTTTGTTTCATCTTTCTTTTTCTTTCCATTTTTGTGTTTATGAGCAGTTTGCATCTCACCATCCTGTGATCACTGCCGGTGTTAAATTATCTACGTCTTGGATTATGTGTTTATAGCGGAAGATTATATATAAAGTCAAGGGCGAGGTATTATAAAACTATTTTGACAGATAGCTAACAGTTAACTTCTGGAATTACTTTGAAAAGTAACGCCATTCCAGAAGTTAACTTCAAGTTATTCTATCAAAATAGTTTTATAATACCCACCCTGACAGTTACTAAACTACCAAGCAACAAACTTACATCAATTCTACGTCATTTAGTGATCTTATGAGGTATGTCTAAATCTACATCCCAATATATGTTGCTCGAACGTCACAATAATGTCATAGTTCATAGTAGAAACGTTGTGTATAATCGACGATCAAATAAACGTCTTTGGTTAAATGGAGGCTTTATAGACGTAGCAATACCTACAGGGTGTTTTTTTTCAATGGGTCATATTGGGTTCTACATAAGGTAACTTTTGAACCTAATGTTGGGTCATGTTATGCAGGGCTGCAACTAGAACCCTCGGTGCCCAAAGTCAATCCAAATTTCGGCACCTACTCCCCTCCTCGCCGCTGTCTTGGAAAACAAAATATCCATTTGCTACTAATAAGTCACTGTGTAAAAATACAGAGTGATCAATATTTTATTATTCCCAACATTTGTAGGAAACCTTTCACGAAAGCTGGTTATCAAAAACAATTCCACCACTGTGTAAAAATACAGGGTGATCAGTATTTTATATCCCTAGTTCTTAATGTAGAAAATCTTTGACAAAAGCCGGTTATAGAAGACAATTCTACCCACTGTAATTTGACTCAACAAAAATGAGCCACATAGAGTGATCAATATTTTATTATTCCCGGATCTTGTAGGAAATGTTCTACAAAAGCTGGTAATCGAAAACAATTCGACCACAATATGAAGATACAAGGTGATCAATATTTGATTATCCCCAGCTCTTGATGTAGGAAATCTTTCATGAGAGGTGGCAATAAAAAACAATTTCACCCACTGTAATTTGACTCAACAAAAATAGTCACTGTATAAAGATACAGAGTGATCAATATTTTATTATTCCCGGCTTTTGTAGGAAATCAGTAGGTTATTTACGAGGATTTTGGCTCAAAACAGAGAGGAGACAAAGAGGTACTCCCCCTACCCTACCATTCAAGATACAACCATCCCCCTACCGCGCTCTGTATCCCCCTACTGGGTCACCCAATATACTATACATAAAACCACCACCTTTACCACGCCCTTTATCCCCCTATGTTTTATGCTGGTTTTGTGCTGAATTTTGCTGGTGTTGTGTGTGTGCTGAATTTTTCTGGTGTTGTGTGCTGAATTTTGTTGCTTTTGTTCTGGATTTTGTTGGTTTTATGCTGGTTAGCTGGTTTTGTTTGTGCTATTTTTCAGTGATTTCGTGCTGGTTTCATGCTGGATTTTGTTGGTTTTCACTGGTTTTGTTCTGGATTTTGCTGGTTTAGCTAGTTTTCGCCTGACTTGGAAGAGGGATTGCTTGAAATCGAAGCCAGGGAGATAATTACAGAATGAAGGGATACTTTACCTACTATTTTGAGACTGCGAAAGGGGGATACATACAAGGCGTGGTAGAAGAATGGTTGTGTGTAGTATCTTTGAGTGATCAATAAGGGAATGTAGGGCGCGGTAAAGAGATGATTGTATCTTTAAGGGATAGGGGGAGTGTCTCTTTGTTTCGTCTCTGTTTTGAGCCAGGACCCCTGTAAACTACCTATTGAAATCTTTCACGAAAATTGGTAATCAAAAACAATTCCACCACTGTGTATAAAGATACAATTTTATCATCCCTATGGCTCTTGATGTAGAAAATCTTTCACAAGAGCCAGTAAAAGAAAACAATTTTACCCACTGTAATTTGAGTCAACAAAAATAAGCCACTGTATAAAGATACAGAGTGATCAATGCTTTATTATTCCCGGCTCTTGTAGGAGATCAGTGTTCAGTATATAGGTAGTTTCTCGGGGTTTTGGCTCAAAACAGACACGAGATAAAGAGACATTCTCCCCACCACCCTAGATACGATCATCCCCCTACCGCGCCCTGTATCCCCCTACTGGGTCACTCAATATAAAATACATAAAACCACCACCTTCACCGCGCCCTGTATCCCCTTAACGCGCCCTCTATCCCCCTACCTCTCAAGATACTACAGACAATTGACCTTTTGTTTGGACGCCATATTGCGGTGCGCGAACATAGTTGCCGAAAGTAGAAAAAAAAATTATACTAGTGTACTGTCAACATTAAAAACAAAAGTTACTGAATTTTAAATTTGCCGCCTCTTACGAATGTTTTTGAAAAGAAAAGCCATCAATTTTAGCTTGTATTGGGCTGAATAGAAATAATAGAATGGGCAAGTTTTAAAATTCATCAATGACATATGCGCATTTTCACCGATGTAATGCTGTCCTTGTCATTTGACAGCAGCAAAACAAGGATAGGTTACTCATCAAGAGAAATGCGCATAAGCAAATGGTGAATCTAAAAATTTGGCCATTATCTATCTATTTACTTTCATCAATCAAAGGGTACATTCAGGCGGTGCCAGCGGCTTAGTTCAGCCACTCAGCAGGAACTTTATTCGCGAAACAGGGGAGCAGCAATCTCATTGGAACGAAGGTTCTGTCTTTGTTGTCCGGCATAACACTGACAATGACAGAGTAATTGTTCTTATGAGAACGCTGTTCCTTGGTTTCGAGAATAAAGTTCCTGCTGAGAGGCTGAGCTAAGCCGCTGGGACGAGGCTGGGACCGCCTGAATCTGCCCAAAGAGAGAAAGTAGACAAACGGATCAATAATTTAGTTACTTTTGTTTTTAAAGTTGACAGCCCGGTAGTAATTTTTGTTTTCTTCTTTTGGCAACTATGTTCGCGCACCGCAATATGGCGTTCAAACAAAATGTCAATTATTCCCTTATGTTTTATGCTGAATTTTACTGGTTTTGTTCTGGATTTTGCTGGTTTAGCTGATTTTGTGCCATTTTTTACTGCTTTCGTGCTGGATTTTGTTGGTTTACACTGGTTTTGTTCTGGATTTTGCTGGTCTAGCTAGTTTTCGCCTGACTTGGAAGGGGGATTGCTTGAGATTGAAGCCAGGGAGATAATTACAGAATGGAGGGATACTTTACCTACTATTTTGAGACTGCGAAAGGGGGATACATACAGAGCGTGGTAGGGAGATGGTTGAGTGTAGTATTTTAAATGGTCAATAGGGGGATACAGGGCGCGATAAGGGGATGATTGTATCTTGAGTGGTAGGGGAAGTGTCTTTTTGTCTCGTCTCTGTTATGGGCCTAAACTCACGTAAATTTCCTAAATACTTCTCCTTTGTTTTTTTCAAAATGTTTATTTTTGTTACCAATTCACCTAATTCTGCAAGAAGAATTACTAACCGTCCAACAGAACTAGATGAATATTCTTGCTAACAATATTACCAACTTTTTTGATATAGTATTTCTAAACTCAATTGGAACAAGGTGCCAATTGGTGGCTGGTCACTGAAAATTGCCATAAGAAATGCACTGCCACTAGTCAGCCACCAGTTATAATTTATGATCACCTTGTTCTAATCAACTTTGGAAAAACTATACCAAAGACTTCCTCCAAGTGCAGATGGGTATGTTATGTAGCTAGGTATTACGACTAGGGACTGAGGTGTCTTGATTTACCGCAGGGCCCTATTTTTCACTTTCCTACCTAGGCCCAAACCAGGCCCTACTTAGTTTAGGACAGTGTTTGTCATTATTCCATTATTGATCATCACTCACCCGCATTCAGTCAACTCATAGAAAACAAATATGTTGATATGTTGTTCCAAGTTTTTTTTAACTCTAAACGCCTAAAAACTTTCATTTTGAGGCTCGAAATGAACGTTTTTGGGTGTGGCACCCACTGCGAGCTACCACTACCGGCACCTACGTTAAGGGTGCTATGTCTCTATAAGGCTGCGCAATTGTTCTTTGCATGCGGGCGGCCGATACCCTAGGATCGGCCCTGGCTGGTATATCAAAAAAAATTCCATCACTTTGTAAATATACAGAGTGATCAATATTTTATTATTTCCGTTTCTTGTAGGTAATCTTGTACGAAAGCCGGTAATAATCGAATAATTCTACCACTGTATAGACATACAGAGTGATCAATATTCTAATATAAATAACAGCTTCTTGCTCGCTCTGACGATTTCTGCTCTACCGTTGTTAGTAAACGTGTTAGCTCTCCTCTATTTTTTCCAGGCAGAGTGGTCATCTAGCTCTCTTATGGAAAATAGTTCTTTTGCAAGTTTAAGTCTTCTTTCCATTGATTGGGATAGCATGTGCTATGTTCTAGTATTCAGCCTCTTGGTTGCAATTTTATACCCTTCTCTCTAGGGGTTGTTTTCAATTTCTCCGTACAATTTCATCCATAGCAGCACCTTTTTTGTTTTTTGATAGCCAGCCTTTTCGGACTCTGCATACTTGTCCGAGTGTCGTAATGGAAACTCTTTCTTTAATTCTGCCTATGCCCTTGATGAGATTTTCCTGGGCTGGGATTCTATATCGAATAGAGATATATTCGCTATCTCTATTGACGTCCCCTCTCTATTAATTTCAGAAAGAGAAAAAAAGTCAGCAAGTGACATAGCGATTGGGATAACGATCTCTATGCGTTACAGAATCCCGCCTCTGGTTTCACGGTATTAAGTTCACACCTTGACTTTATGTCACTAACTTAAGATAGCTAGTTATATTATCTAGAACTGACGTTACCCTTACGACATTAGCAAACTCAAATTAGTTTCCTACTTTGTATATAGAAAGCATTCTCTACTGGAAGTGGGTCCTTTCCCTTAGGGAATTCTCATGAGAAATAAATATGTTGCTTTATGGTGCACATTTTTCTGTAAAAATATTGAATATGTATTTTTCTATAATATGGTTGTTCGTAAGGCTCTTGCCATCCTGACTGCCTTGTTCCGTACGCCATTCTTGAGTTCACCGTATGGTGTTATTGTTATTCCCAGATAGTTGAATTCAAAAACCGGGTCTATTATTTTGTTGTTTAATTCTAGTTTGCATCTGCGTGGTTCCCTGGCGATCACCATGCTCTTTATTTTGGTGGTAGATATTTCCATGTTAACTTTTTCGGCCTCTTTCTTAAATGCCTGTGAGAGCCATTGCAGTCCGTTTTCATGTTTGCGTATAGCGCGTTGCGCCGTCTGCGTAATGCTTAACATAAACATATTATTTTAATTTGTTGGTTTCCGATCTTGTAGCCCTGGTTTATCTTACACATTTTTTCTATTATTCTGTCCATTATGCTGTTGAACAGTAGTGAACTGAGACTGTCTCCCTATCGTATCCCTGTATTTTGTTCTATTTTTGTTGTTGTTAATTTTGTTCGTCTTGTTGTGGTGTTGTTTGTGTTGAGCTTTCTGACCGTTTCCGTGGTCCAGCTCGTTGCTAACGTCCTCCAGTCTTATCCTGTCGAACGTTTTGGTCAAATCTATAAAGCACAGGTATGCTGATTTGTCATACTCTATTGCCTTCTCTACCACCTGCCTGACGACAAACACTGGCAACGCATTCCCTACAAATGAAAAGTTTCGCGCAGAAAGGTTATGTTTAACATGGACGCTTCCAGTGATGTAAACTGTACGTAAACTAAGGTTAAGGGTAGTTTACACTGATCGTAAATCCACGGTCTACACTTTCGTGGTTCACTCTTGAGCCGTGGAACGATTGGTCCACGATCAGCTCCCCTCACGCCACGGCCCACGACTGATATGGAACCACCATAAACGAGTCTATACAAAAAAGATTGTCAGACTGCGCTTTTGAATCCTGTATCAACTATGACTATGATGAACTATTTGAAACACAAAATGTTACAATATGGCACTAAATATGGAAACACCACCTAATAACCGCTTTCAATTAAGTCGAAGGTCCAAGCTAAGCGATTCTTTCTGACAGTTTGCAAAGTGTCAGACGCCCATTGAGGTGAGAACAGACCTTAACGTTGTGTTTAGGTTTATAGACAGTTGATGTCACAAGTTCCGCCATCTTGAAACTAATCGTTTTCTCCCCAACGAAAATAATTTAAAATTTAAAATATTTTTTTAAATTTTAATGAGGACATTAAGCAAAGAAAAACATATAAATTTTATATTTGAAAGCATAAAAGCAATAAGAAAAAAATATACTTTGAAAAATATGATTGTTCCCTATTCAAGGTAATGCCTTTTGGATTCCATAAAGCCCCCGCTACTTTCGAGAGGTTGATGGAAATCGTACTACGAAAACTTACGTGGAAAGTATGTTTTGTCTACTTATGATGACTATCAACTTTTGATTGAGAACTTGTAACGGTATATTTTCCACAAACATCTTGAATGCAAATATGTCAAAAGTGTGTGTAAAAATCAAAATTTAAACTATACTCGGCTCTTGAATTGCTTCCCAAGAAGTTTTCCATGAATTCAGGAACCGATAACAATCAAAATTTGAACTACATGTCAAGTGGAGACCTTAAAAAAACCGTGAATTACTAGAGCTCATGTTAAATTGATAAACCAAAAAAGAAAAGCGTGACTTTTATACGGAGGTTCTGGTGGGAATTGTGACCTACGGGCATTCAATGTGCTAAAAAACCGAATCACCCAAACATTAAGAAATGCTTGGTCGACTTTTGAGAGCAATCTCCTAGAGCAGAGTCCAAGAAGGTTTTACTAGCATATCAACCGTTCGCTTCAATCTAAGTTTCAAAACTTTGTCTTAAGAGATTCAGACAACCATCTTGAGTCTGAACCACAAAGAGTGGGGGAAATATTCAACAATCAATTTGACAGAGTATTTATACACAAAGACACAACAACTATACCACAACTTTCCGCAGCCGGACGGTCAGGACCCACACTTGAAAATATTATTTTTACCCCACAGAAGGTGAAAAAGGTGCTGAAGCTCTCTGCCAGTCCAGGACCTGATGATGTATCCCCAATATTGCTAATAAACTGCAGCGCGATCATGAAGTGAATCATTGCAAGAACTGAGGAGGTTGCAATGTTCTTAGCACAAGGACTAATGACAGTCTACCAGTTTTTCCGCCTACTGCCATACTATAATAACAATAATAATAATATAAGCGGCTCTTAATTTGTGAAAAAATTCCTCGCTCTATAGACTCGTGATTTTCTCAGTTAATGTACTCATGCTTTTAAAAGAAAATTAATCAACTTGTGATATTTTTACTAATCATTCCTATTTCCTTTCCAGAATTATCGTCGTCAGATGACAAGGCGCAGCAAAACGGCAAAGAAGTAATCATCGAAACCGACGCCCAGGAACCGGAAAACGAGGTTGCCACTTTCAAACTAAAATACTTGGGCAGCACAGCGGTTGACAAAAACGCCGACAAAGCCACCATCAGCTCTGAAGCGGTCAAAAACATTATTAAAACCGCCAAAGCAGTCCGCAAACAACAGAAAAAGTTGCAAAGAGTCATTGTTGCCATTTCAGTGCAAGGAATTTCCGTTACTGACTTGGATGGCAACGATATTTTTAAAGTTTCTATATACAAGTAAACATTTTCTAAATAAATCTAATCTTCTGTTTAACATTTGACAATTTTAGAATCTCAAATTGTGCCTCAGACTCAAACCACCGTCAAGTATTCTCCTTTATTTCCACCGATCAGTCAAATGACAAAATGGAATGCCACGCCTTTTTTTGCTCCAAACGAAAAATAGCCGATACAGTTACTTTGACAGTGGGCAAAATTTTCACTAGTGCCTACGAGGCTTGGGTTGATTCACCAAATAATCAACAGGAGGTTGTCAGTGAAGCTCCAATAACACTCAACAAACCTGTAGTTGTCAATGAGGAAAAATTAATTGATTTTGATAGTGAAGGCGTCGAGGACGATGATTGGGAATTTGATGCACTTTGCAGTAATAATAAGACTAACAATAGCCAATGGGTGAGACTTATTTTTAATAATTGTTGTTTCAAATATTTAATAATTAATTTGTTGCAGGTATCATTTGAAGATGATTTTGCCAAAGTTCCACCCCAGAACAACTTAATCTTAGTTTAATAATAATTATCAACATTTTGTATATACTAATAACTGCAAATATATATACTTAGTTTTAGATTATCTTTATTTATTTATTTGATTAATTAAATGACGGCGCACAAAAATTTGAAATTACACTGGCTTAAATCTAAAAAAACTATAACTAAAATTCACGTCTGTGGTATTTGTCGGGATCAAAGTACGAAGTAACAACGACTCTGTTGCTGAATTTTCTTCCTGTAAGAGTTTGCTGGGCCTTTTGACAATCCAAAACTGAATTGAATTCCACGAAAACCTGTAACAAAAATTTGTGAATTTTTTCAATACAATGAAAATTCTTGCTTACTTTTCCACATCCAGGCACTTCGACACCTTCAATCGGCCTGGGAATTTCTATACTTCTCACCACTCCGTACTTATTGCACTCCTCTTTGATATCCTCCAAAATATCTTCATATTCTTCTTCGTCTTTGAGCTCATCAGGAGTGACCATGTTTAAAAGACACAAAACTTCGGTTGCCGGTCCTGAAGCGCCCACCAAACTCAGACCGGGCACTTGGATTTGGACTGCTGGCAACACTGTAGCGTTTTTAGCTCCTACGCTGGCTCTTTGTACTATTAGGCGTTTGTCGCCCAATTGCATACCATTCAAACCTGCTATAGCCTAAAAAAAAATGTTTAAAAATTATGTTTCAAATTACAATATTTTGATTTATATGAATATGTTATTATTCGTAGGGATGCAGTCAGTTATTAAAAGAAATAAGACTCTTTTATCTATTGTAAGCTTTTACAATAATTTTTTATTGCTTAGTCAGGCATACTAAATTAGGTCTGTCAACACGTCAAAATCCGTCCCATGAACGATTTCGAAACAACTCAGTGAACGAATTTTGGTTTCTACGCGCAAATTTTACAGAATCATGACGATAAATTGTACGGTTTCCTGCTGTGTTAGAACAGACCTATTATGTTACAGTTACGATATGACCAATTTTCAGCCATTTTTTGTTTAGCATCAGATGCTTAGCACGCGTTCCATTGATCGTTGTGATTTGCAGTGAACTTTTCTGTGCACTGTGACATTGTGTCTGTGGCCATAAATTTGGAAATTCTGATTTCCTTTTACAATAATTATCAAAAGGTACCTTGAAGCACAACCCAAACACGGTCATAAGCAACCCAATTGCAAACCAATAAAGCACATGTTATGATTTAGATTTTGGAAAACTTTGAAAGGTCATAACTTTTTTTCTATTATAGATAGAAAGCTGAAATTTTCACTGAATTTTATCTCAACAAAAAGAGGTTATTTGAGACTCCGAACCCAAGGGCTTCATTTTCGAGAAAATCAGCTTTGAATCTTTTGTGAAATTTGAAACAAAGTTTTGAATTTGAGCCTCAATATTTCCAGAAGTATCCAAGATAGAGAATTGAATCTTATTCTATCTTGAAGATAATTTAATTCTGATTCAGAATATATAATTTTACATTATATTTGTTGCAAAAATAACCGAGTAATGAGCTATTTTGTGAGACAATGTCAGATTATTGAAATTTTCTGGGCCCAAAATGTGGAAAAACGGTTTTAATTTTTTCACAAGCCCTAAAACCCAAAAAATAAAGTTGCGAAAATGCTTTTCCACCAATTTTCACTTCCTCTCTCGATTAGTAAAGTCAAAAATTGCAAAATCCAAAAATTTAAAAATTCGAATTTTTCCAAAGAGGTATGCATTTGATACTCCGGGCTCAAGGGCTTCGTTTTCAAGAAAATTAGCTTTGAAACTTTTGTGAATTTAAGACAAAGTTTTGACTTTGAGCCTCAATATCTCCAGAGGTATTTGAGATAGAGAATTGAATCTTATTCTATCTTAAAGATAATTTAATACTGATTGAGAATATATAATTTTACATCACATTTGTTGCAATAATAACCGAGTAATGAGCGATTTTGAGAGACAACGTCAGATTATTGAAATTTTCTGAGCTCAAAAATTGCAAAAATCATTTTTATTTTTTTACAAGTTCTAAAACCCAAAAAAACAAAGTTGCGTGAATGCTTTTCCACTAATTTTTACCTCCTCTTTCGATCGGTAAAGTCAAAAATTGCAAAATCCAAAAATTTAAAAATTCAAATTTTTTCAAAGAGGTATGCATGGGAATTTGATTTTCAAATATTTCAAAGGGCCATATTTTAAAAACCAGTAAAGCTATCGGCATAAATATTTTGCTCAATTGTAGCTCTTAAGATGGGCTATAGAAAAGGTTATTTGAGACTCTGAAATCAAGGGCTTCGTTTTCGAGAAAATCAGCTTTGAATCTTTTGTGAAATTTTTCCCGTCGGGTTTGGAATTAGAATTTTTTGAATTTTCCCGGCTCCTGATTGCTTTGGGGATTTGAATTTTGATTATTCCCGGCTTTTGATTGGCTTTAAATTTTGAATAGTCCCGGCTCTTGATTGGCTTTAAAATAACCTATAATCTCGGCCCTTCGAGCTCGAGATTTGAAAATAGTTATTTATGTATCAAGGGAATTATGCAGGTGTTAATACCCCAGGGCAACGTTTGTGTCCCGAGGGCCTCCGGCCCTCGGGACACCAATTGCCCGTGGTACATAGATAATTTTATATCCTACTGAATTTACTGTATTCTGTCTATTTTTATAAAGGAATAAGCCATAAATCAAAAGAGGCCCTCGGGACACCAATTGCCCGTGGTACATAGATAATTTTATATCCTACTGAATTTACTGTATTCTGTCTATTTTTATAAAGGAATAAGCCATAAATCAAAATTTCTATTTTTTGTCAAAGTGTTACCTATTCAAGGTAAAAGCGGGAGTTATGGAAATCCTTAACTCCCTTGGGAGTTATGATATCCTTAACTCCCTTCCTTAACTCCCTTGGGAGTTATGAAAATCCTTAACTCCCTTGGGAGTTAAGACCCTGTTTATGATTATCGTAACCAAGGTATTATATGGTTTTAATAGTTCAGTAGGATATAAAAAAATATATGGCAATACTGCTCATGATACAACAAACGTCAAAAAATTGAAATTTCACACCTTGGGTTTTTTTGACAATCGATACAAAATGACGTCTTTTTGTTTCAAAGATTACGGCCCAAAGGGCCGGAGTATTAAAATCAGTTAACAATGAACGGGTTCGTTCGGATAAAACTTTTGTCGCACGACACTTTGGCAATATCGACAGATGTCACCTGTCAAATTTGACACATGTTCGACTTTTTCCCTGCTCTACTATAAAAGCTACGAAAATCAAACCCCGGTACAAGGCAGTTTCACGACACCAACTATCGATTTGTGTCAAAAAAAATTGACAGCTGTCAACGTCAAAAAAGTCTTTTTTTTTTAAATTTTGTAAATTTCGAGAAAAAAAGTAATAGAAAACGATCCCCGGACCCCAAAAGCCTTAAATAAAAATTCCAAAAAAAAAATCAACGAAAATGACATTCCAAAACCTACTTGATAAAAATAAAGTTTTTCTCACTTACCCCGTTAAAGACTGGAAATTTTTGGTGGAAAATGAAGAAAACTGAAAGCCTCGTACTTTAAATCAGTTTTCCCGACTGAAAAAGCCACGGAAAAGTGGAAATTCGAAGAAGAACTGAATAAAAATGTAAACACGTCAATTAAAAATGGCCAACTGTCAAAAATGCTTCCTTGATTGAATTTAGCCACAAGCGATGTTGCCACATCAAAAGCATTTTAAATGGGATTTTGCTAATTATGGTATTTAAAACTAGAAATTTTTACTAAAAAATGAAGAAAACTCAAGCCTCGTAGGTTGAATTGCTTTTTTCCATTAAAAAACTCCGGAAAAGTCGAAAATTTGAGAAAAAACTGGCAAAAAATCACAAAGCGTCACTTCAAAATGGCCAACTAAAAGCAACGTTGCCACATCACATCTCGGAAAACAAAAATAACATTTTAAAAGGGTTTTTTGTTTAAAATTCAATTTAATAAATAATTAATAATGATTATAATAATCAAAATTCCCTAAATAAATCATAGGAAACTTGTTTTTAGTTTAATCTCAATGAAAATGACATTACAAGGTTTCCTTATTGATTATAGTGAGTAAGACAAAGACAACGATAGAGTAGTATGTTTGCAAAAACCACCGTTTTCTAAAATAAGTAAAAATCTTAAGAAAACCCAACAGAAAACCAACATTCCAAAGTCAACTTAATATAACTAAAGTTTTTGAATATTCCCGGCTCTTTGATTGGGCGCTAAAAATCGCATTTTGAATATTCCGGGTTTTTGATTGGCTCCAAATTATCCACTGACCAATAGAATTATCAGTGGCGCACCCAGGTTTTTTATTTGGGGGGGGGGGGGGTTTCATAATGATGAAGGCTCGCCGCAGGCAGATTTCAAAAAATAACTTTTTGTAAGTAATTTCCATCGAAACACAATTAAAACGAACGCTCGCAACAAAATAGCTGCGCGAAAAAAAGCTATTGTCACCCCCACTGTTTTTATTATCATGTGGAGTGTTGCCAACTCTGAACCAAGACTGTCCACTAGAAAAGAGATTTAAATCCACTAAAATCCATTAGGAGATAAAAAAAAAATGGCGCTAGTGGAAAACCTACTGAATTTTTCCCACTCTTTTTTGAAATTTTTAGCACTCCTATCTTTTTTATTGTTTAAAATTTCTAAAAAATATGGATACTCAACGCTATATCTAGGTGTCATCTATCATGTTGTGTTGTGTTAGTTCCTTTTCTTTATTTCTTAGATTATGTTACAGCAGCATGTTTATAAAAGTATGAAAGCCGGGTTGGCGGTTTGCTTGACTCGAAGTTTGAAAGTGACAATGTTGACAGTTGACATGAAAGCATCATTGACAATATTGACATACCTACGATATGACAAGCCCAAGGATGATAAACACTACTAAACTAAGGATGGCCTATCCTTATAAGGCCTGTGTGTAACAAATCCCCCCTCCCCCTCCCTCTCCGCCAAAATGCCAGTTGTGACGTAGGCAGCATGTTATTTCTCGCCTTGACGTAGGTTGTTTAAATAGCGACGACTTAGTTATGACGTTGGAAATGTTATCACACCAATATGGCGGCAATTACCAAAAACGATCGAGGCTGAAGCACTCCTTAAGCAGCGTTTTCCTAGCAACGCACATTTCACGCGGCGTAGAACTTAATACGGCCGACGCTAGCGCAAGTCGTTTTAACGCAGTGTAGGAAAACGCCTCCATTTGATTTTCATAAGACATGTTTCCAGCGTTTTATGTCGACCTAATTACGTTCTACGCCGCGTAAAATGTGCGTTGCTTGGAAAACGCTGCTTTAGAGTGTGTATTCTCCTTGTGACAAGACCACAAGAAAAAGGCAAAGATGATACACACTAAATCTATGCACACTACTACTACTACACACACTACAGGATGGCCTATCCTTATAAGGTCTGTGTGTAACAAATCCCTCGTCGCCAAATCACCAGTTGTGAAGTAGGCAGCATGTTATTTCTCGCCTTGACGTAGGCTGCTTAAACAGCTGACAACTTAGTTATGACGTTAGAAATGGGGACACACCAATATGGCAACGATTACCAAAAATGAGGCCGATAAGCAATTCTGTAGGTGTGTATCATTATCATCCTTGAATATATGCTGCCTTCTGTAAATTAACAGGAATCCTATACAAATACGTACGTTATTTCGAAATTTTGTAAAGAAGTATCGGGAACTAATGGAAACGAAGGATCACTGAAAATCATTGAGCTAAAAATTCACTAGAAACCGTGGATCCCATTCCCATTCCCATTAAAATTACCACTATAGTGGAATTTGCTAAAACCATTCCACTAGACGACTTTCAAATCCACTAGAAGTAGTTAGTGAAAATTCTACCGAGTTGGCAATACTGAATGTGTATTTAGAAGAAAGAGAGTTTCCCACATGGTTGTAAACATTCTAAATTCTGTCTCCACCGATCAAATGAATTTGTTCACGAACATTGCTGATCATTCGCAAAGCAATCGTTTTGCACGCTTGGTGGAAATGCACCTTTACATGACCGCGAATTGCGATGTACGATGCCGGGCCGGGTTGCCAGATTTCCATGTTCTTGGTTTCGATTCCAGATTTCAGTAATTTCGCGTAACGTAAATAGGATATTTTTTATGTAGAATGGAAAGTTTGTAGGTACCTATTAAACAAAATCGTAAAAAAAAATATTTTTACCGGAAAATTCTTTGTACCAGTGCTAAATTTCGGAGGGGGGGGGGGTTTAACCCCCAAAACCCCCCCCTTGGGTGCGCCACTGAGAATTATAAATTGGGCCCTGTGATCAAAAATAACTCCGGCCCTTCGGGCTCGCGTATAATTCCGGCCCTTCGGGCTCGCACATAATTAACAGTTTTCCCGATCGAAACCGGCCTGGAAAAGTGGAAAATTCGAGGAGAAACTGGATAACACTTGAAAATGGCCGACTGTCTAAAATGCCAAATGATATTACATTACAAGACCTACTTGATCAAAAGCGACGTTGCCATAATTACAATCTCAAACATAACGTTTTTCCAGATTTTAGTGAGTAAAACAAAGATGAAGATAAGGTAGGATACATTAGTAAAAAATTAAAAGCGATTATAAATGAATAAGACAAAGAGCGAGCAATTTAAATAATTAGTTGGTGGAGCCAAACTATCATCAGAGTAAATTTTCGATTGGGGGTTCAAACACTTGGAATAATTACTCAATTATTTTTTTTTGACAACTGACAAACATACATACAATATTATGACTTTTGACAATTGACGAGTTAATTTTCAGGACCACCTACGATTGTTATGACTTTTTTTGTCAATTGACAGCCTTGTAATTCAGGTTGAGGCCTACAACAGCAACGTTGCCACACTTCAACAGTAATTTTGGAGCATTTGTAATTGTAAATTTAAAACGTTGACAAGTGGCAATTGACATCAAGAAACGATTGTTATGATGTTGTAGGCTGATTGAAATTTTTAACTTTTGGCAATACTGTAACGTTAGAGGATTGAAATGGCGTCTTTTTTTTAATCATGAGCCCAAAGGGCGAGAATGTTTTCAATCTTGAGCCCACAGGGCAACAAAGAAACGCCATTTTGAATCGAGTTTTAAAGAAAACAAGGCCTACTTTGAAACGTCAATTTTTTATCATAAGCAGTATTGCCATATGTTTTTTTCAAATCTCCAGCCTGAATGGCCGGTGTTGTTTTAATTACGCTACGAGCCCGAAGGGCCGAGGTTATACGAGCCCCAAGGGCCGGAGTTATATGTCCGTTCATTGTCAACTGATTTTAATACCTATTATGAATATTACAGGTCTGTGATGCACTTAGATGTTCTGGGCCGCACGCGCGCTACACTGAAGGAATCAGCGTTTCCTCCCTGGCCGTGTGGCCCGGGTAACTCGCTCTGGTACAATTTTTCTTTAATTTTGGTACAAAAAAAAATTTTTGCTCTCTGGCAACACTGTTTACATAACAGAACGCTTTGGTGGACCAAAATCGAAAATTTCTATATAAATGTTATATAATCTGTGCTTCTAATTCAAAAAAATTGAAATGGACAATGCGAGCAAAGCTGCCATTGGGCCAAGAACATTAATTTCCTAAATTTTCTTTATTCCTTCGCAGTCAGTTATTTCACTGAATATGACATTATAGATAAAAGTTACGTCATCAGCTTCCTAGTTCTCCATTTTTTATCTTATAGCTTCTATTAAATGAACTAGAAAACAAATCAAAGACTACGCGGGTCACACAACAAGCAGAAGTTAAATTTTTTAAGGTTATGTATGGTCAACCAACGCAAAACCACCAGAGTAAGCACAGAAAATTTCTGTTGGAGCTTGGTTGCATCAGATTTCCACCAGATGAAATCCACCATAAATTAACCAGTAAAATAAGAACGCGGTGTGGTGGGTCATCTTAATAAAAGAACGCTTTGGTGGCACCCCGTTTCTACCTGGTGAATGTCTGATGGAAAAAAGACGCACCCTAGTTATTTATCTAGGAAGCGTTATGTCAAAAATTTGACATCTGTTTTTTTTTATATTTTGAACACTGGAATAAAAAGCCAGACCAGTTTCCAAATTCAAATTGGGAAAAATTGCTTTTCAATGTTTTTGGTTCGAGTTCATTTTTCGAGAAAAAAATACTTCCAGCTTGCAGAGACAAAATACAAGTTTGGAAAATTTGTTTTCATAATTTTTAGAGCTTTTTGAGTAATTGAAGGACCTTTTACACGAGTTCCCAGACTTCAAAATTGGACATTTGAAATTTTATTTCAATTTTTGTCTATTACAGGCTATTGACTTGGTTTTTATTCTTAAATTTGAGCCTAATGATATCTGAATTGACAGCTTTGCAGCTTCATAACCATTGAAGCTGGATTGAAATTATTTATTTTCTGTTCATCATCGGAGCTGTCTAAACTGTCATATAACAGAAACATTACCTTTATCAGATTTTGTTACTATAATTTCAGGATGAAGCAAAAAAAAAATATTACGAAAGTTTCCAATAGATAAAAGAGTCTTTTTTCTTTTAAAAACTAGCTTCATCTTCACAAATAATAACATATTATACATATAAATATTTAAGCCATGATAATACCTAATATTATATATTTACCTGATCAGTCATACTAATGTCAATGTATTCGGCAAAAGCGTAGCCTTTGCTCAAACCAAAGGCAGTGTCTTTGACTAGATTGAATGCCCGCAATTGGCCAAAGGACATCAGTAATTCTTTAACCTAAAATTAATTTAAATAAGTTCAATTTGGGTTTGTTGGGCAAGTTTTGGCAATATACCCACATGAAAAAAGACAATATTATGAAATCAATATTTTCCATGTGAGTACATAATATAATGCACTATAAAGACATTTACACTGTTGCCAAACACTATTGACATCAGTGTATAAGTCTTAAGTATACAAACCATAGGCTGTATTTTAGAGAGCACTTATAATGTATTACAGCCTTATTTAATTAAAAAAAAATTAGGTTCTATACGAGCATCTTGTTGAAAATTCAATTTTAAACTTGCCTTCCTCAATCCACAACAACAGGGTGTTCGGGTTTTTTAGTGTGGAATCATAAGGATCGAACGCACGACCCTAGCTATAGGGCAAAAAAATCAGAATATGAGTTAACTTGATTCACTTTTTATTTTTTAATAACAATGAGGATTCATTAAAAAAAATCTATTGACACAATTATTATTCACGAAATGAAAATCCCCATTGCTAATTTTTTAGCTGAAAATTCCTGAAAGAAAACGCTGGAAAAAAAAATCCTGAAACTTTTAAAAAAGAATTGGAACGTGACCTGTAAAAAAGTGGTGCTAGAGAAGGCAATCTAACCTGAAAATGCTGTAAGAAGAAGAGAAATTTGTTCGTTGTTGTTGAAGACTTGATTTTGCTCGACCTAAGGAATCACACCAACACTTTGACTCAAAAAAAGTCGCTCACCCATTTCAATAATTCATTCACACCTAGAAAAATCCACTGTCCCCTTACCTGGTCTTCGTTTAGATAATTAGGCAAACCCCCTATAAAAATTTTATGCGGCGAATCTGGTACCACAGTACTAATAACTCCTGCGGGTACCGCTATTGAATTCTCCGACATGCCGGGCATCGGTTGGTAGTCGTGTGGACGGCGTATTTTTAAGGATTGGCCTTTGAAGTTGATCCCGTCGAAGGCCATGGCTTGAGTGGTCTCGTCGATGGAGCGGAACTCTAAAAAGGCGAAGTTTTTGTCCAAGTTTATTTGACAGGCCAACACAGGGTTGCCGGCCGCTTGCGCCAATCCGCTGAGGTGCATCTGCTGGTTGAAGTATTCCATCATTTCGTCTTCGGTCACTCCAAATGGGATGTTGCCGACGTATAACCTGGAATTTTAACACATAAACTTAGACATTTCACAAGTAAATTTCAATTTCAAAAAAGCTTTATCATAGAAAATTAGTGTAGTGGTAGGTTGTGAGTGATGAGTAATTTGTAGATAAGGCCTTTGTGCCAGACTTTGTCAAAGGCCTTATTTTCTATGTTTAGTAGCAGTAGGAAGGTGCTCTCGCGGTTATTGAATGCCGCTAAGGCGTCTTGAGCGACCCTCGCTACTACAAGTGTAGTATTGTGTTCTGGTCTGAAGCCGTATTCTTCCTAGAGTAGGCATTGTAGCGTGTTTATTGTATCAGAGACCCTGCGCATTATGAGTTTTTCTGCAACCTTACTGAGCGTATTTAGAAGGGAAATTGGTCTGTTTGATTGAGGGAGGGTTAGGTCTTTTCCAGGTTTGAGACTATTATATTCGCCTGTTTCCAAGTTTTTGGAAAGTGTTGAAGTGTGATGATTGCATTGAGGATTTGCAGATGTTTAATAGTCTTCCTGGACAAATTCTTAATTAGATGTTTAGTCATGGTATCAAGTTGGGTGCCTTTCTGTTGGGTAGGTTGTTAAATGGTGCATTTATGCCTAATTTAGTTGATTTTCATTCATTTCCAATGGGGTTATTTTCCACTGGAAAATCTTGAAATTTTACTATGATGCGCCCCTAACTTTCCTCTTTTTTTTCAGAAAATTTCATAATTTTCCCCTGGATAGTTTTTCAGAAAAAAAAAATAAAATGTTAGATGGTGCATTTATGTCTAATTTAGTTGATTTTCATTAATTTCTAATGGGGTTATTTTTCACTAAAAAAATTTGAATTTTACTATAAAACGCCCCTGACTTTTTTCGTTTTATCCAGAAAATTTCATAATTGGATAATTTTTCAGAAAAAAAATAAAATGTTGGTTGGTGCATTTATGCCTAATTTAGTTGATTTTCATTAATTTCCAATGGGGTTATTTTCCACTGAAAAAATTTAAAATTTTACCCCTGACTTTCCTCTTTTTTTTCCAGAAAATGTTATAGTTTTCTCCTGAAAAGTTTTCCAGGAAAAAAATAAAATGTTAGATGGTGCATTTATGTCTAATTTAGTTGATTTTCAAAAATTTCCAATAGGGTTATTTTTTACTAGAAAAATTTGAAATTTTAGTATGATACGCCCCTGACTTTTTTTTTCCAGAAGATTTCATAATTTTCCCCAGGATAGTTTTCCAGAAAAAAAATAAAATGTTAGATGTGCATTTATGCCTAATTTAGTTGATTTTCATTAATTTCCAATGGGGTTATTTTCCACTGAAAAAATTTAAAAATTTACTATGATACGCCCCTGATTTTCCTCTTTTTTTCCAGAAAATATCATAATTTTCCTCTGGATAGTTTTTCAGAAAGAAAAATAAAATGTTAGATGGTGCATTTATGTCTAATTTAATTGATTTTCATTAATTTCCAATGGGGTTATTTTTCACTAAAAAAATTTGAATTTTACTATAATACGCCCCTGACTTTTTTCGTTTTATCCAGAAAATTTCATAATTTTCCTTTGGATAATTTTTAAGAAAAAAAATAAAATGTTGGATGGTGCATTTATGCCTAATTTAGTTGATTTTCATTAATTTCCAATGGGGTTATTTTCCACTGAAAAAATTTAAAATTTTACCCCTGACTTTCCTCTTTTTTTCCAGAAAATGTCATAGTTTTCCCCTGGATAGTTTTCCAGGAAAAAAATAAAATGTTAAATGGTGCATTTATGCCTAATTTAGTTGATTTTCATTAATTTCCAATATGGCTATTTTCCACTGAAAAAATTTGAAATTTTGTAATGATACGCCCCTGACTTTCTTCTTTTTTTCCAGAAAATTTCATAATTTTCCCCTAGATAGTTTTCAAGGAAAAAAATAAAATGTTAGATGGTGCATTTATGCCTAATCTAGTTGATTTTCATTAATTTCTAATGTGGTTATTTTTCACTTGATAAATTTGAAATTTTACTATGATGCGCCCCTGACTTTCTTCTTTTTTTCCAGAAAATGACATAAATTTCCCCTGAATAGTTTTTCAAAAAAAAAATAAAATGTTAGATGGTGCATTTATTCCTAATTTAGTTGATTTTCATTAATTTTTAATGGGGTTATTTTCCACTAGAAAAATTTGAAATTTTACTATGATGCGCCCCTGATTTTTTTCGTTTTGTCCAGAAATTTCATAATTTCCCTTTGGATAGTCAGAAGAAAAAATCTATCATTCTAGCTAAAAATATACAGGGTGTTCCATTTGAAAAAATGCAAGTGCTGTGATTATGACAGTTGGCATCTGTCATTTGCCCATTTTGACATGTACCAAAGATAATAGAGATAAAACCCCACAACTTTTGTATTTAACTTTTTTTTGGTATTTTCTTTTGTTTAAGTTGTAGGAGCCGCACTAATTATAAGGAACAGACCCTGTACCTAACCAGTCTTGCAGAGATACTTAGAATCTAAAATTTAAATAGAATTAATATATTGACTGCATATGTTTTGTACATACATATTCGAATATCTCATATTTTTACAAAAGAATAAAAATTTATTTGAACAGCTAAGAACTGAAAGGTAGTTATACCTTAAGAGTGAATTCCATTGGTTGGAAATAATCGGGAAGCTGTTTATTAACCAATTAAAAACGTTCTTACTATGGTTTGTGATTTCAGCAAGAACAGACCTCAAATAAATATTATGACCTGGTTTATTCATCTTCAGATAAACCCAGTCTTCAATCTATCAATAGCACTATGATTAAAGAATACCCATTTATCAAATGAAATGTAGCAGGTGCATTATTCAAACCAAAAGCTTTTCTTACTTTAGGTTGGCCTGTACAAGTACCACCAGTGGAACCTGAAGAAGAAATCAAAATAAGAGTCAAATATCTAAGAAACCCTTGGAACGATGATCATTTTGATTTAAGAGAAGACAAAAAAATCATTGGAAAAACTATAGCTATGATTGGCAAGGGTAAAACTGAAACTTTGTACCAGAGCTTCCATATCTTAGGGCTTGCCTTGTACCAAAAACCCTTCAACAACTCCTTTATACAAAGAAATCTTAGACTTACTACCGCCAGAAAATAATACAGAATTTGAAACAGAATCTATTGATGTTAATACTAAACTAACTGAAAATGTTAAGAACAGTTTTGCCAAAACCCACCAACAAAACATAAACCAGCAATGCAAAATCTACCAACAATGGGAACAAAATCGCCTCGAGTCAATAGATCAGAAACAGCCCCTTCAGACATCGTCTTCAATTTAGTGAAAGAAGTCCAGACTATATGTGCGTTAAATTATTCAATGTATTGCCATGACAAGACACAGATTGAAGGATATCTACTTTTAAAAGAAAAGTCAAAAGATTACTTATTAACTTGGAGTAATATACCATCATATACCTACCTTGGATGATTTCTTGAATATGTGAATCATAAGGATTTATCGACATAATCGTAATAGTTATTCTGTTTGTACCAATTTTAAAATAAATGTTATCAGCTATCATTATTATTAAAAATACAAATATCTACCAAAAATCCAATTTTGAATTCTCCGGGGGGCGGTCAACTTCCTTAAAATGTGTACACCGATTTAAAATCACTCTAGATTTTAACTGATTTAACAGATTTGATCGGATTTGAGAGATTTTCGTTCAAACCTTAACTGATTTAAGGTGATTTTAAGGTAATTTAAAGATTTATTGGATCATTTGAAAAGATTTAAGCTGATTTAGGAAGATTTAACCTGATTTAAGAAGATTTAAATGGATTTAAGATTTTTTCAATCATTGGAACTGATTTAACTTGAGATGATTTAAGGTAATTAATTTAATCCTGAGAAGATAAAAATGTATCTGTTACGGTTAATATGCAAACTTGGCTAGGTTTGTAAACTAGCTGGATAGTTTGAAAACTAACCAACCCACTGGCTGTTTTGATAGAAAATACAATTTTCACTAAAATAGCAGCTAGTTTGCAAACTAACCAAGAGTCTTGGCTAATTTGCTTGAAATTATTGAGAAAACTAAAATAGCTGGTTAGTTTATAAACTATCCAATGCAGCCTGGCTAATATGGAAACCATATTTTCTAGTAACACAAAATAGTTAAACCTTTGGCTAGTGTATAAACTAGCCAACCAATTTTCAGGCTAATTTACAAACAAAGTTAGGTTAATAGTTATTTATACACCAAGTGAGTTAAATGAATGTTTATTCATGAGAAGAAAGTTTAACCCACGAGCCCTGGCGAGTGGGTTAATTTCTTCGAATGAATAAACATTTTAACTCACGTGATTTATATAAAAATTTTATTCCATTTTGATAGACATTTGAAAAATAAGGTACTTAAAAGGAATTAAATTATGAAAAGAATTAATTTAGTGGTTATGAAAGCGCTAATTATTGAAATTGGTGGTTGCTAGGGTATAACTAGTTGTTTGTTTGTATTTGTAGCAGATTTTTATACTAGCAGAGTGACTTAAAAGACCGAGAGTGAGTTAAAAATATTTTAAGTCACTCAGGTGATAAACTTCTACTTACCTTTGTTATTATGCGTTCAATAATGTTGTTTTTAAACGTCAAAATGGGATAAAAAAATTTGATGCTTCTTTAATAAATCTGTATAATAATAAAGCAAGTAATTTTCAACTTTACAACGAATGAAATCTGGAAAAATATTAGCTTGTATGGACGATTTGTTTGATATTATTGAAGAATCTCACCAATCAAACTGGGCACGGCGGTAGAAAAGTTACAACAAAGCTAATAAATATTCAAATATCACCCAAAAAATTGTAACTTTGTTCCTCGATGGATGTGAGAATAGACCTATCTATTTTGCCAGACAAAGAGGTGATAATACGAAAACTTCATTAGTTAAAAAAAAACACAGAACGCTCATTGCGCAAGACGAGTAGTCGGGGCGGTTAGTCGAATAATCTTGCAAATTGTGATAAAAGCATGAAATTTGGT